CCGAATTTTGGAAAGAATTTTACTTTTCCTATCATACTTGTATAACAGAGAATAAATGGCATATTATTTCTTCTATGAGAAATAAATGCAATGCTATGTTGCTGTTTTCAATAAACTTTTTAATTTTTTCCCCATTTACGGGCTCTCTGCTAAAGCCTGGGCTCCTGAGGAGTTGACCATGCATGGAAAACACAACAAATAAATCAGCAACTTCAGAAAACTGTGAAAGATACAATGAATGACAGGAGTGTGGGGTATCATGGGAAGGCCAAAGAGAGGCATTGGAATCTGTCTGCACCTGTAACCCAGAAGCTTACTGGCTTGCTGGCACCTTAGACATGGACCTTGTCCAACGTGGCACTAGGAAGGGACTGTAGAGGTGAAGTGTCTCAAGCAATTTTTAAATCATAACATCGGTTAGAAATGGGTTTTAAGTCATCCATCTACTTTTCCCCAGAATACCCTCTTCATGCAAAGCAAGTCGGTAGTCTCCGTGTCTCCAGAGGGGGTCCTGGGGATTGACTCGGCACCGCTCTGAAACTTTCAGGGGTCACGTAGTATAGGTTGTTCACAGAGCCTTTTTATCCACAAGCTCCTTATCCTCCCTTGAAGAAGAGTGTTTGCATGGGCTGGTCAGTATCACCGAAGAGGGCAAAGGGTAACGCAGTGTCCCAGTGGACTGTAGTCTGGTGATGTGAGTTTCTCCCACTGCACTCGCTCGCTCGCTCCCTCCCTCCCTCCCTGCCTCCCTCTCTCTCAACGTTCCACCTTTGGCATGACTGACCTGGGGTGCTGATGCACAGACTCTTCTTGCATTCAACCATGGGGTTATTTTTCAGGTGAGGTCCTTTGAGGTCAATACCATGTGTCCATCTTTGCCTTCTTCAAGACATTTCCTTCGGAAACAGAAAATCGCTCATGATCCTTATTATCCTGGGCTTGTTTGGAACTTGGTTCCTCTAAGGGATGGTCACACAATGAGTCATGGAATTTACTGACATCAGGGGTAGTCTTTCCTAGGCAAGACCAGTTCATATTCTAACATACTTTACTAATATACTTCAAGTTTAGCCCAACTGC